CCCCCCCCCCCCCCCCCCCACACTTAACCACACCGAAACTAAATCTAAGAACTAAAACACTCTACGGTTACACAGTCTACAAAGTCAAGCACGAGTATATGAGCGAACCGGAAACGGAAAGCGATCGTCCGAGAAAAATGGCACAGTTAGGTCCACGGCAATACGATGGGATCGGTCCCGTTACCAACGATGGAATGCCCATCATACTCAGATCGGTAAAAACCAGACGAGAAATGAGCTCAGCCTTAGCTAGCAGCGCATCTTTGATATATATATAATTTTGTCTGTTACGCTGCAGGAGGTCCAGGAACCGCATCAGCATGAATGGTATAAGCGACTCTATCAGACCATACATAAGCAGAAGAATGGCGGTAAATGTCTTACCACTAAGCTCTAACAGAACTCGAAGCATTATAGAAACCCCCAACCACCCAATCCACAACCGAATCCTTCACTTACCAGCCCATCTAACTAATCTATATAATGCTTCAGTTCTGCGCCTGCTCGACTAGTTCTTAATCCTCTCTGAATTCTCTTTTCGAATGTCTGCTCCACTTGAAACCATATCACCATTCCCATACGCCTCACACACTCCATCGTCCCTCTCGCTCTCGCTCTCCTCTCTCTCTCTCTGTCTGTCTGTCGCATACAACAGACGATTTTGTGATACGCTACAAGTGTCCCAGAGGTGATTTAAACTCTTTACAAATTATCATATTTAGCTATAGAACTATTCTAAATTCTGTCTAAGCTTGGCTTAAGTAGCGCCCACTTAGCGCTTCGCCTGCTTTGGGTAGCCGTAACAATTATGATTTCTAATTTGAATACATTCTTTTTAATCAGTTTTGGCATGCATCATATATGATTATTATTATTATTAATTATTGGATTATATTTAATAATATTTTGGTTTGCTTTTGGTCATATTTTCGTGCTCATTGGAACGCTTTGAAACTGAGTTTCTACACTAATCTTAGACTAAGTAGCTACTCATACACTAAGCTCTAACATTATGTCTGCCAACAACGACAACACCAACAACAACAACAACAAATGCAACATCAGTGATAACAACAACAACAACAACTTCAGTAGTGCTCGTAATTTCTAAACAACTTTTATGCAAAAAAAAAAAATACCTCTGCATAGCTAATACAATTTACGTCTCCTGCAGCGCGTCCTTCGTACAAGAGCAACGGTTATGTCTCAGAGCCCGAGCCGAACTACGATTCGGATTACTCAACAGTAAAATATCGTACACCCAATCCGCTGCGCGTGCAATCGGTTTTCAAATCGGCTGTAAATGTGCGCAATCTGAACCAGGACGACAAGTATGTCAGGCGAAACCTATAAAATGTAGTCTATATATTATAATAGATTAATAATAATTAATACATATGCTTGCAGAGTGTATGGTACTATGCCCAATCCCATAAAATCGGCACAGAACGCATACAAGAATCAGCCCGGTCGCATCGAGGACTATACAACTGGCCATTCGTCCGTTTCGGAGAAGGAGAAGAAGGAGGCAAGTGCCCAAGTCAGCCGTCGTCCCCATTCACGCACAGAACTCTATCCCTATCAATGACTAAACTATGTGAACTCGTCCATGGCTAATGCTAGACGTGTCCAACTTTCTGTCATAACGCTCGCCACATCAGTCGCTTCCTTCACACATTCCCCCACCTTACACAACTCAATATAATACCCCATTTATGACATGATCTCATACGCACGCAGTCCACTATCCATCCAACATATTTCCGTCGCATAGCAATTTTTCTAACTCACAGCAAATTATTCTATTCACAATTCTAGTGGTGGGACGAAGTGATGGACATCTTTAACGGGGTAATGAACGCTACTCTATATAATTCCTAGTTATAGATCCTAAAAATTTGCTACTTTTTTTTTTGTTTGTTTTTTTGTGTTCCGTTTGATAGTAAAAACTATTCCGCAATTCCTTTAGTATAACTTATCTATCTTATTCCCTCTCCGATTCAATAATTACGCTTAACGCTAAGTGGCTCAGGGAACATACGCGCATACCACGCATTATAATAGAGTTCGTCGATGATATCGACGGCTGTTCAGTAAGTCTTATGGAGTCGAGCAACAAGGTTATCATTGCACTCGAAATACTAATTTTTGCAGTCGAAATTGAAAGTGACTTCAACTGTTCTTAATCTCGATTTGTCTCTTTTTTATCATAAAACAGAATTTGGAGCAATCGAAGCTATCGCCCGCATTACACGGAAGGCAATTTGTCAAGGTAAGCAACTGGAACTTCCACGATAACTAATGCTCGACTATAATTTAAAATACTTCTGCTCGGCAGAGCGCTGGCCAAGGAGTCTGGCTACACCAGCGATTCCAATCTAGTCTTTCGCAAAAAGGAGCTGCCCGTTAGCAGTCCGCTGAGTCCCGTGGAGCAGCGCCAGGCCTACAAGAGCTTACAGGCCGGTGGCGAGCCGCCTTTGCTGGGCTTCCGTAAGCCAGCGCCCGAGAAACCCAAGGTAGGCGAGTTCACAACTGAACTAGTTCATGGTTACTTCTATAACACTTCTTTTACTAATTCCTCAATCGGTGTTGGTTCTCTCTCAAGCTCTACTCTACTCTTTAACTCTGTAAACCTAACTAGTTTGTAACCTTTCTTAACGACTTGATAAATATTTACAAACACACCCACTGCCACACTTGAAGTTGTTATCAGCAATGCGTCGCACTGCAGCACCGGGCACCCGTTATACAGTCGCTGCTCTCATGATTAATACGAAAATCTCTCTCGATTCCTGCTCTTCTGACAAAACCCGCAGAAATTGTGGAAGAGTTTGAATTTATACAGATAACGCCTACGCTCACCAAGATACGCGTGAGCACCAAGCCACTAGAGGAGCCTAAGGAAGAGCCACAACTGCCAGCATCAGCTCCAACACCACCACCCTCCTCCTCCACCACCACCACCGCCACCGCCACCGCCGTCGTCTTCGACCTCCGCTAGCAAAATGTTTACGCATTTCTCCAAGAATCTGCCCTCGTTTATACCGCTAAGCAAGAAGCAGCCGCAGCCGCAGCCGCAGGAGACGCCGCCTCTGCCGCCGCATCGTCGCTCTTCCTGCACGAAGAGCACCGTGCGCGTGGAGAAGATCACAAGCAGCTGCTCCAAGTCGCGTCATGATCAATGCTTTCAGCCACCTGGCGGCAATGGCAATGTCAACACTATTAGCCTGCGCAAGGTCTCGAGCGCACGGCGTGAGCCCATTTGCCGCTCCAAGTCCGCGGGCGCTGTGTCCACATTGCTGGCCACGCTGACGGCCACCAAGGAGACGCGCAGCAAGGATGGCTGCCTGTTGCGCGTGCAGCAGCAGCAGCAGCAGCAGCATCATCATCATCGCTCGATCAGTCCCAGTCGTCGTCCGGCGCGGCTGCTGGCGCTGCGTCATTCGAGCCGCAGTCCCGTCGCCTTTGGACGCAGCATTTCCAAGGAGCGCAGCTTTGCCGAGGAGAAGAAGCGCTTGGAGAACACGCTGCCAGCCAGCCGCACCAACTTTGAGGCCAGCACGAATATATTGAGGGATCCCTCGCTCAAGTCGCCGCAGGAGGTGCGCGAGGCGGTGCGTTCGTATGCGACGTGCAAGGCGCAGCATGCGCGCAGCAAGTCGTTGCCGCGCTTGCGCCACAGCACCGTCAGCACCACCACGCGGCACACGATGTGCTTCCCCCAGGTGCGGCCGCAGAATCTGCTCGACTGTGGTCGCGCCCTCAAGAAGGTGTTGCCCGCGTGCAGCAAGGCGCAGACTCGGACCGTTGCCACGTTGCATCGCAGCGCCTCGAACGAGAGCTTGCCGCGCAGCAACTCCACCTACTCGATTGATTCGGTGGTGCGGCAGGAGTATGTGCCCATAGCACCGCCCAAGACCTATGTGGGTAAGTCGAAGCCAGCCAAATCGCTGCCAGCGCCGCTGCAAACCAGCCGCAGCGAGGGCCATGTGCCACGCAAACGTGCCAGCAGCACCACCAAAACCGGCAAAACCACTGCTAAATCCAAGCCAGCTGTAGCACAGCAATCCTACAGCGAAACGGTGCGTGAGAAAACCCACTTCTGGAACGATTACAATGCAAAGCAGAGCCACAGCCAGAGCCACAGCCAGACCCAAACGCCCCACTCGCTGCCGCAGCTGATCAATGGCGGCACCGCTGACTACAAATACTGTTCGCTGGTGGAGCCCGGCTACGGCGAGGACATCTATGACTGTGCCGCCCAGCCGCCCTCCAGTTGCATCGAGGATCTCGTGTGGAAGTACGAGAACAAGGCACAGCCGAGCGCTAGCCGAGCTCAGCCAGTGACAGACATTGCACGGCCGCAGTCGCCTGAGGTGGTGCAGCGGCGCTTTTCGCCCACGCGCGAGGTGCGCGTGCCGCAGACCCAGCAGCGCGAGGTGCGTTCGCCTTCGCGTCGTCGCATCGACAGTCTGCGCTCGAGCCAGCGGCAGGACAAAGAGCAGCAGCAGGCGGTGGCGCGTGCCAGCAGCCTGAGCAGCGCCGACGATCGCAGCAAGCGGCAGCAGAGTGGTGCAGACGGCGCCGCCACGGGCGGCCTCTATCAGTGCGGCGAGCTGGCGCACAGTGCCACCTCGCTGGTGCACCTGGAGCGGCACAGTCCGAGCTGTCGGTATCGCAACAATTGCGAGCGCTTCACCGAGCTGAATCGCTTCTACAGCACCTTGGAGCGCGTGGGGCAGCTGGAGCGCGCCACCTCGGCTAGCAACTTTCATCCGTTGCGCAAGGATGCGGAGCTGCTCGACTTCGATGAGTGGCGCAAGGTGCGTCTGCACGAGCGCGCCGAAAAGGAGCTGCAATATCTGATGGGCAAGCTGCAGTCGGATCAGCGCGAGCGCGATTTGCACTTCCGCTCGAAGGACGTCAGCGAAATCAAATGGCGGCACGATGCGGACCAGGCGCTGCATGCCAAGCAGAAATCTGTGGAGGATTTGCGCGAGAATTTCGAGCAGCTGCAGCTGCTGAAGCAGCAACTGCCGCCGCCGCCCGTGCAGCGTCAATGGCGGCGCAATACTGTGGCAGATCTGGCGAGCAGCCTGGAGCCACAGCCCCCAGCCGAGCGACACTTGAACAATGATTTGGTTAGCACGCTCTCCAAGGATCAGATCAAGAAGATCACACAGCAGCTGAATGAGATCTACGCGGGCAACAGGAGAGCTGCCGTGGAGGAGCAGTATGTGGTCACCGTCGAGAAGGACTCGAAGCCCAGCAGCCAGGCGAACAGCCTAAAGGTGCGCTGCAACTCGACCATTAGCAAGGAGCAGTTGCTGGGTCCAGTGCTGCGCAAGCGCGAGGAGCAGCAGCAGACGCAGACGCTGCCACGTGCCACGCGCAGTCAGTCGCCGGTGGTGGTGGCACGCGAGACGCGCGGCGCCATAGCCGCCAAGAATGCGGAGCTAACTTTGAGCAAGCCACCCGAGGTGCCGCCACGCCCCAAGCCCAAAATCGAGGCAAAGTCCACGAAGGCCATAGCCAAAGTGGAGCAGGCGCAGGGAGCAGAGGACAGCAAGGAGAATCCCATCAATCAGAAGATACAATATTTCGAGGAACGCCAGTTCGAGGAGCCCAGCAAGACCATCTACCATGCGCGCGAGGACAGCTCCCCGGACGAGGCCGAGGTCATGCGTCTCATCGAGCAGAACATGCAGGCGAGGCAGCAGGCCAGGCACGCTCAGCTGGTGCACACGGAGCTGAGCAACTCGCTGACCGATCTGAGCGGCATCTACGGCGAGCGCGCCGCGGCACGTGTAAATTTTCACTTGCACAGCCCGCCCGAGCGGCCGCCCGACGGCCAACTCGAGCCCGATCAGCCGGCCGAGCTGCACAGCTACGCGGCTGGCTCGCCCGTCGGCAGCATTGAGCTCTACGATGCATACTATCGGTCGCGCAGCCTGTCGCCGCAGTCGCAGGTCTCCGCCTGCTCCAGCTCCTATCTGCAGCGCGTCTATACGGGCGAGGTGCAGAAGATCAAGCAGAAGTTCGAGAGCATCGAGCGCGAGCAGTCGAACGAAAGGCGCGATTTTTTTGGGCTTAGCCAGCTGCGGAAGGCGCGCAGCGATCCTCAATTGAAGGCGGGAGGATCAAAAGACGCCTCGGGCAACGCCGCGGATGCGTTGCCAGCTGCCGACGCTGTCAGTCACAAGCTGGAGTCCACATCGCCGGATCGTGGCCGGCGGCGACAGCGCGGCCTGCTGATGCCGCACATCGACATCATCAGCAAAATGGCCGAGCTGCTGCCGGCCAAGGTCAGTCCGACGCGCAGTCACAGCAGCAACAGCTGCTCCGCGGGCCACGTTCAGACGCTGCGCCATCGTTACGAGTCGCCCGAGCCCGGCCAGAGTCTGCCGCAGCGTTATCTATCCACGTCGCTGGCCGATCTGCGCGACGTGCACGACATCTCGCCGCACCTGAGCGGCGATTGGGTGGCCCACAAGCATCCAGAGCGCACGCCGGCGCTGCCCAAGAAGCCCAAACGCAATCTGGGCCTCAGAGCCAACTCCACCTCGCCCATACGTCCAGCCAGGGCGACTCAGCAGGCGACGGCAGACATCTTTGCCAATCAGCAATTCGATGCTCACAAGCATCGGCCCAAGGCGCGCTACGTGCCCGATGGAGAGAGCGTAGCTAGCACGGCTACCCGGCGTTGCCCGGTCAGCAGCTTGGAACGTCTCAAGCGCAGCGCCATGGCGGTCACGTTTAAAGGTAACATTCCTTCTTGACAGTGTGGCAGTGGGTGTGTCTCCTAAGGGCTGTTGCCTGCGCTTCAGCTGCTCACCTAATCTCGTAGTCTTAGGCTTGGTTTCTCGTTGCTCTGTTCTGAAGACTTGGCTTACAATTGGTTTTCCGTTCACATTTCGAAATTTTTATCCAACTTCTGTATTGTCCATTTGTCCATTGCTGGCGTAGATTTTGACTCGAGCGCCGCACCACCACCACCAATACCCCCCACAGCCGCCACTCAAGGGCCTGGCCAACCACTCGGGCTATGAGCCCTACAGCCCATTCGTCAACAGCAACGGTGATCGAATTGATTCGGGTACAGGTGAGTTCAGGCAGGTGCCAAACAGTCGTTGGCGTTGCCAGATCGCTGCTTGCAAACTGTACTAAAAAAATGAGTGTACTAAAAAGTGAGCAAATTACGAAAATTTGCATTTTAAAAGGGGTCAGCAGCGACCACTAATTATATGGTCATCTCAAGCTAATGGATTTGAAATTTGTAAATTTCGTTTCACTCTGAATTTGAATTTTCCAAAAAAAAATTTTGATAAATTTATGTGTACTAAAAACTGATCAGCTGATCAGAAGAATATTTTGATATTTCAAAGACTTCTAGAGTAAGGTTCTATCATATCTTATCTCAAGAATATGCTTTATTTAAATTATTTATTATTTAAATTAAATTTTATTTAAATGAATTCGCTTAAAGCCTAAGAATCTTTTTGATATTGAAGTCTGTCTCTATGAGAATAGGCTTTACTTTACTAAGTGTCAAACTTGAATTCTATTTAAATTGAGCAATTTTTATATTTTAGTTCAGTCTGAGGTACTTTATATTTTAAAGAAACTTTAATCATAGTTGTACTAAAACACATATGTGTGCTAAAAATCTCTCTCTCTCTTTCACTCTCTCAATAATCTAAATACTTGTGTTAGGAATAGGATTATCAAGAAGTGTACTAAAAATGATGCTTATACTTGAACTACGAATATATTCGCCCTTTTATTAAATTGAGATGGTTCTTCACATATTTAAAATCAAATATTACAAAATTATAATTTGTTTAAATTATATTTGGCAATATTGTATGTTTCTCTGTAAGTTAAAAATTAAAAAAATTATTTTTATTTATGCTTGAAGAAGCCAACTCTGAGACGTGTGAAATTTAATAGCCCAAGTATTTCACATGTGTGCTAAAAAAGCTTTGTACACTTATACATTTAGGTAGACTCATATTAAAGATTATCATTCAATTTATGCTGAAAAAGTCTGAAAAAAAAAAAAACAAGTCAATTGAGAACTGAGCTAAAAACTAATATATTTTTCTTGTCTTTTACCTGTGCTAAAAAAGTTTTAAATGTACATTTTTAGCACAGTAAAAATATATAATATATATATTTATAAGTATATCACTTTTTTAGACAAATGATAAACATTTTAGGTAGACTTCATTTAAAGCTGCTTTTAGCACAGCTCAGTCAAAAATATATAAGTTTTTTAGTCCAGTTCTCTGTTTACTTGACTAAGATTTTTTAGCTCATATTTAAATATAATATGTAATAAGAATTTATCTAAATGTATAACTATACAAATTTTTTTTAGTACACATAAATATCATACATCACGTGAACTATATTTATCTATCACAATTCTTTTAGATCTAGACTCTGAAAACTTGCTTAAAAATTCTTTTTGACATCTCTTGAAATTTCTCTAAGCCCTAATCGATCTCTAGACCTTCATAAAACTTCTAAAAACAGCTTTCAACATTAAACGATTTCCAAGCTAAATTACCTCACATTCACCTTTGTCCAGCCCTCAGCCCCTTTCACATTGAATTTCTTGGCTACGCCTCTGCGTGCTGCGTTCATTCAATGACCTTTGCGAAATTCCATTTTTATTCTCTTTGAGTTATTTCTCGTTTTGCTTTTACTACCGCAACAAATTTCCGCAATTGCTGCAATGGCAATAGCTTTTTGTTTTGAAGGTGCGCCGCGTGCATTAGCTGACCAAATTAATCGATAGGGCCAATAGCAGAAGCGCCGGAGGAGACTGACGGCCAACGTTGTTGACCCGCTTACCGCCACCTGTCCAAGGCGCAAGCCGAGCACGAGGCAGCGGCACAAGCGACGACCGAGCCGAACGAATATCCAACCCTCAAAGCCGGCCCAGACGTTGCCATGGCCAAAATGTGTCAACAAAACAAACAACAACAACAACAACAATAAGAACAAGAAAAGCTGCCCGAGCTGACGTTGGTTACCTGTTCATGCGGCCTTTCAATTCAGTTAGTTTCACTTTTCCGTGCCAAAAACGTCAACGCTCGACCATTTCCTAATTAAATGCGACGCGCGTCAATTTCCACTTACATAATGCACCACTGAGTGGTGCAAAAAGAAAAATTTAGAAAGAAAAACAAAAAAAACACTAGAAATAAATTAAAAAATAATTATGATACATCAAACGTTAGCGCCGCGTCGCAGCAACACCTACGCGGGCCAGCAGCAACCCCCTGGCAACAGCAGCCGGAACAACCACAGCAGCAACAACCACAGTCGACGCACTGCCTCAACGGCGGGCAATCGCGTGCACTGGCGACAGCCGCATCAAAAGCTGCACAGCAGCTGCAATGATTTAGAGCTGACAGATGACAACATTCAGCCGCAGCACAGCAGCAACAACAACGGCTACGACCAGTGGCAGCGACGTCCGTTGAGCAGCGATGGCAACAACTACTACAACAATAGCAACAACTTGACGCCAGCCACGCTGCATCGCAGCGTCTGCGATATGCCCAACTGCGGCAAGCTGCTTTGGCTGCGACGCGACACAGCAGCAACAGCAGCAGCGCCGATGGTGCCGCCGCTGCCAGCAGCAGCAGCAGCAGCAACAGCAGCAACAACAACAACAACCACAGCAATGAGTTATCATATTGTAGGGCTGCCACACACGCCGGCGCCAGCGCAGCGTCAGGCATATTTGGCCAATCGGCATGCCATAGGCGCCTCCATGCCGCTGCTCATGTGGCAGCAACAGCAACTGCAACAGCAGCAGCAGCAGCCGTGGCAACAGCTAAGCGGCAGTTAGTATTGAGCTTAATATATACCCCCCCCTTCACTGGCTGCTTGCCTCCTTTTTAGCCAAAGTGCAGGCTGCTGCCACGCCCACTCATAAGCCAAAACGTTCACTTTCTCAATTTTTGATTAAACGATTTTCCAGTTTTGCGCTTTCTCACGCTACTTTTTTGCAAAACGAAACTTGTTATCAGAGAGAGAGAGAGACTCAGAGAGTAGCAGATAAAGAGAGAGAGAGAGGGCTAGAGGGAGAGAGCGTGTGTCTCTCTTTTGCAATTGTTATGCATCTCACGTTTTTCACGTGCTTCGTGATAAAAAGCTTCGCATTGTTGGCCGCTTCGAGCTTTCTGAGGTGCAACGATCTCTGCAACTCTGATCTTGTGCAGGGCCTCATACAGTGGCACACAAAGGTGCTTCAAATCGAAATTTAAATACAATCAGGAATTATATTTAATATATGCATTTCTCAATTGTGAATTGCATAAAAAGTAAAGCAACGACAATTGAAAATTGAAGAAGAATAAGAATTATCAAAGATATAAGCAGCAAAGGTTCTACATCTTTAAACTAACTAACTAAGTCTTTATAGAGCAGTCTTTATAGAGCATTTAATTCAAATATTTATATTTTATATTTTAGCTGATTTGAGTAAATATAAAGCTAATTTCGTGAAAAGCAAATCAGAACTGAGATCAGCTCATCCTTCCTAATAATAAAAGAAAACTTTAAGCTGAACAGAAATATTAATATTTATTTTTTGGCTTAAAAAAATCTGAGCAGACCCTTGAGTTTATTGTTGAAAATGCATACTAAGTTAAATTTTCAAGTATTAAAATATTTTTTAATATCTTTTTCCACTATTTTCTTAGCTTTGCTCTCTCTTCCTTCCTCTTCGTCATTTCTTAGATTATCACACAAAAAAGTTTCTATTATAAAGCGTACAAATAACTTTCCTTCTGTGAAATATGTCGCTTCTAAGCTTTATTTGTGATTGTTTTTTTCCAAGATAATTATATAAAATTATACTTAAGTTATACTTAATTCTTGGTTATTATAGGAAAAACAGTTTATCAAATGAAAGCTTTCGATAAAAAAAAGTTAAGGAAATGTTCCACCATAATTAGTATTCCGTTTTCGATAATAATATCACAATTGGCATTTATAGCTTTTATATATTTTATATAAAATATAAAGTATAAATAAATATTTGGATAATTCATATACATTCATATATATATATATATATATATATATATATATATATATATATATATATATATATATATATATATATATATATATATATATATATATATATATATATATATATATATATATATATATATATATATATATATATATATATATATACGTCCTTCTAGACGTCAAAGTCAAAGTACAGCTGTTATACAAATATATTTAACATTTTCATTAACATTCAGCTTAACATATGTTACGCCAAATGTAAAAATGTTTCTGCTTAATTTAAGCAAAAGTCTCAAAATACTTTGAGCAGATGAGCTAAGCTCAAGCCAGAAAAAAATGTAGAAGCTCAGTTCAAGCTAAAAACATTTTGAGGTAGAAGAGCTCAATATATATTATATATATATATATTTATATATATATATATATATATATATATATATATCGATATATATAGTCTATATTATATATATATATAAAATCTAATTTTCTTTTCTATTTTAACAATTTTTAAACATAGAAAATTTCAAATATTTCTAATTCTTTTTTAATTGAAGATTTCAAGCAGTGCTTTCACTACACTGTCCACGGCATGTGCCATTGGATTCATGCACATTCGAACGGCGCTTATCAGCTGTGCGTGAGTTAAATGCCCCACTGTAAGCACTTCACACATTAACCGCAAACAACAATCAGTAGAAGAAGCAGCAGCAGCAGCTGTGTAATGTCTGAATAAACGTGAGATTTGAGGTGGGGCGCAAAGAAACTGGCATTCGTTGTACGACGATAACTGAACGGCTCCAGTAGAGGCTTTTGGCGCTCTTTTTTTATGCCAGACACTCTCTCAATTTGTCAGTTGTTCAGTGCAGTCATTCACTCAGTCTTTCCATTTCATTCAGTTTGAATTTCAGTTTCGGTTTCAGTTGAGCGCAACGCGTGCTCGAGGCAGTTGTTGAAGACGCGCGTCGATCGACGGTCGTAAACGAGTTTAGACGAGGTTCGTGTTGGGACTTGGTCGAGAGACTTTATCAGCTCTACGACCTTCTCATACTATCTGGCTGTGATTCTGATTGATTGTGTGACTAATCACAGTGAACCGAAGTGTAGAGTGAGGGGCAGAAAAAAGGTCTTTAAGCGCTGATTAACCTAACTGAAAGGCTTGAAAGAGTTCAAGAAAAGCCGGCTTAACGGGGCAAGCAAGTGCAGACAAGTGCATGTGTGTGTGTGTGTGTGTATGTATGTGTGTGCATGTTCAGTGAAAGATGAAAATCGGCAACACTTTCAAAACGCTGCAAATTGCGGCGCCTCAAACAAATCAGTGAAAGTGAAAAATCTCTCAAGTGACAATTACATTTTGTTTTTTTTTTTAGTTGTCTTCCACAACAAAAAGTTGTTTGTCTGTTGTGCTTTATGATTTTTTAAAGCATTTGTCACTGTCACAGGCGGACAACAACAACAACAACAACAACAAATATTTGTACAGCTTGTGTTCCGCTTTTCGAAGCCCTTCAACAAAAATTTCTATTTCTATTTTATTTGTGGGCAAAATTTATCTCTGGCTGCTGCTGCGCAATTCGTTTAGAATTTGCCTTACGACTTTGTTTGATTTCTAATTGTTTAACTGGCATTCATATCAGTTGAGCGTTCTATTAATTCTGCTTCCAAGTCATGTGAAACGCGGTCACGTCACATGCAATGAATCTCCCAGCAATGCAGCCCAAGGCCCCGCGGAATATTTCTACTCATATCTGCTCCAACTATGCAATGATATCTATACTAAGACAACTTGGAGCTACTTTAGTAGTTCATCAACTACTCACTGCTAGTAGCTTAAGTTAGTCTTAGTTGTTCTTCTTGTAAATCATTTCAATTATATATCTTTTTCGAGGTTTACTTTGCTTGCCAGCAGAAGCTGCTCAGGGTATTCCCTTGGCTTTGTTTTCAAGCTCACCAAAAATCTGCAATTTTATGTTTAATTAGTCGAGTTGTGTGCTATTAAGCATAAGCATTAACTAAATCATTATGCATTGTTTTCGAGTCAACAAAGAATTTTTTAATTAATTTTTTAAAATTATTTTTTAATATTTCCAATTCTTTTAGTTTTATATAAAACTCGGCTCAGTCTCTTGACTTTGTCTTTAGCCCAATTAAGCTCTGCAATTTGCTTTTAACTACTCGATTATTCAATTATCAATTTAAGCACATTATGAGCGAATTTTGCTTGCTAAAAATAATTTTTTTTTTCTGCATAATTGAATTAAATTTAATTCTGCCTATTTAATGTAAAGAAAATAAATTTTTAATTTTTAATTCATTTTAAATAAAATAAATTTTGCATTTTCTGCATAATTTTATTTAAATGCAAAAAAATTAATTTTATCAAATTTATTTTAAATAAAATAATTTTAATTTTTCTGCCTTATTGCCTAAATTAAAAAAAATTAATTTTTTTATCTTCTTTTAAGACTTATGCCTTATGACTTCATATATTAATTCTTCTATCTAACTTAACTCTTATTTATATATATACATACGCGATAGGTGTTTGATGAAGTCTGTTTATCTCTGATTTACGTCTTTGGCATTTAAAAACATTTATTTATTATTATTTTTTTAATCTATGAATTCTTGTACAGCTGAGCTTACACAATGTTTTCTCTTATCTAATTATCTTAGATTTTTTTTAAAATCTTAAAACAATTTATTTGCATATTTTTCAAATTTTCTGGATTTGATTTATTTCAAGTTAAATAAATTGTTTTAAAATAAATAATCAAAAATTCATAATTTGCTGTGTTTAATATATTTTTGCTCAGCTTAATATATTTATAGAAAATATATGTATAACAGAAAACTATGAATTTTGTATTATATAACTTAAAACAATTTTTTGTCTTGAATTAAAGCTAAGCAGCTCAACAAATTTCCCTTTCAAATGCACTTAACTCAGGTTTTAGCTTGGTTTTTATTAAAAAAAAACCTCTGCTTGTCTACTAAATAGCGTTGATTAGTGTAAAGGTAACTCTTTCCTAAGCAAAGTTCACTTTTAAGCTATATATTATATATAATTGCAACTGTATCTATTAATTTTTATGTGTATATGCATGAAGTAGGCTAAACGCCTGCAGCTTGGCTCATATTTTAAAACCAGGCTGCGACTAGCCAAGTTAATTTATGACCTTAAAGTGCAGATAAAAATTAAGCTTTATGAAAAAAAAAAAAAAAAAAAATATATATATATATATATATATATATATATGTAATTAATTGTTGTTAGCTCAGACAGGCATAGGCAAGACTAGGAATTTAGAGGAAAAACTTACATAAATCTAAGATTTATCTCATGGTAGCTAAAACTGATTAAACAATAAAGAACATTTAGAACATTATTATAAATAAAATAAATATATATATGTACAATATATATACAATATATAAGTCTCAGTCAACTTGCCTAATTTCAATTTAAAGTCAATCAGAATTAAACTGTTTAAGTCGCCTGCAAGTCAGGCGAAACCCTTCAAAAGCGATCAAAAACTTGATCAGATAAGCAAATAATAATTATGATTTCTTCATTGTGAGCTTTTTTAATTGACAGCCATTGCATTGTTGCATGATATAGGGGCAACATTATCTACGGATGCCAATCATGGCTGACAACAGCCGCAGCAGCAGCGGCGAGTACTTCGCAGCCAACTGGCATCCAGTGGGTCGACAGCCACCCACTTAAGCCACACGCCCAGTTGGCACCACTTTCATTTCAATTGGTGGCTCATTTAGCTATCAGTGGAAACTAACGAGCATTAACTTCAATTGCAGCTCATTTTCGATACAATGAGAAATGTTAATTCAATTTGAAAACGATTCAACAAGACTAAACTATACGTATATATATATATATCTTGTATATATATATATACTTTGTTATTCATCTCAACTTTCTCAGTTTGCTGAGAGGTTATCTGCGTTTTGTGGGGTCTATCTGCTTAGCGAGGCGTGCGCTGAACAGCGTTAACGTTGTTTATTTGCTTACCAATTGGCATGCACAGACGTTAGACTACAGATGAAGATAGCTATATACAGTGACAGACACGGATACAGCTATAGCTCTGGCTACATAGACAGTTACAGATACAGCTACAGTTACAGATAAGCGCTGAGGCTCGTTTCATAACAGCAGCGACAATCATTTATTTTTCATTATTTATTTTTTTTTTAATTTTTTTTCTGCGGTTAGCTCGTCTTACACTTGCCCTACGAGTCGCCCCCCGCTATGCCCTAACGACTCGTTTCTTATTTGTAGCAACAAGACAACCTGACGTGCGCCTTTGGGCCATCAGATTCAGATTTCTCATCGAAACCGTATCCAATTCTTATCGTTCCATATAGACGTCAATATACACTTCAAGACACCACTGAGGCATGAGTACAAGCCAAACATATCGGATGAGGAACTAGCCATACGTCAAGCGGAGCATATGCAAAAGTTATATCAGGAGGAGCGCCGACGCAAATATCTACAGGAGCTGCAGGACATGAATTCGCGACGACACACCGACAACTTTACACCCTCACAAAGTCGCCGATTGCCCTCAATCGATACGATGACTTCCCCACAGACGTAACGCTTAAGTCGCTGGTGGGGCCCAAAACAGTGGCTCGCGCTCTCTACAATTTCCAGGGACAGAGCTCCAAGTAAGCCCCACGCCAAATCTCAACTCTCTTTATATGCACTTCACTAAATTTTTGCTTTTAGGGAGCTCTCGTTCCGCAAGGGCGACACCGTCTACATAAGGCGACAAATCGATCCCAATTGGTATGAGGGCGAGTACAATGCCATGATTGGATTGCTGCCTGCTAGCTATGTTGAGGTACCAGCTCGAGATCTCTATTCCAATTGCTATAGTTGACGCTATAACGCATCTATTTTTCCTTCCTCTCTCTCTCTCTTTTTTTCTTTTTCTCTCAGATCATCAGTCGCGATGGCGCTCGCACACCCTCGAAGCGTCCCTCCGAGGGTCAGGCTCGTGCCAAATACAACTTCCAGGCCCAGTCCGGCGTTGAGCTCTCTCTGAACAAGGGCGAGCTGGTCACATTGACACGTCGCGTCGACGGCAATTGGTTTGAGGGCAAAATAGCCAATCGCAAGGGCATTTTCCCGGTCTCCTATGTGGAGGTAAATTGCAGTTGATATAGCTTAGACTCTACTCTACTCGACTTTACTCTACTCTACTCTACTCTACTCTACTCTACTCTACTCTACTCTAATTAACTCTACTCTAGTCACATTTACTCCACTCCACTTCTACTCTCCTCTACTCCACCCTACTCCAGATCTCCCCATTGACTTTGTTTATCATAATCTTCATCATCTTCATATTTATTTAAGTAAATATATTTGATTAGCATAATCTACTTGATATTCCATATCCTTTCTAGCATATCCCTTCAATATTATTTCGCATTTGATGCGTTATATTGTACATTCACTGAATTAAATTCATTGTACACTTTCCATTGAATATACTCATATGATTCACGTTCACTTCAGTTACTCATATTTTCGTCTAAGCATTGTCCATGAGTCATCAATACATTGTCAGCATTTGCTCAAGTCTCAAAACATTTGTTATCTTAGGTAGTATTTTAAATACGCTAGATTTCCCCTAAATTATTTATATGAAGTTCTGCTATAATCTAGCGAAGTCTGCAACAAATTCCAACTAGTCGAATATTCATGGCATATTTCTTTAGAATAATATATTTAATGAAGATACAATTTTAATAAACATGTAAAAACCAAAATCTGAGATCATCTAAAAAAGTTATCATGGAGTATTAAGCAGCTAAATAAGTTTACTGTTAGTTCTTCTCATGAATTTCCTTTTTATAGTTCATCGTTTTATCCATCTCAAGACTTTCTAACACTGCTCTGGAACTGGCAGAGTTATTTTGATTAAGTTTTCTTGCGCTGGCCCATTTGATTATTGTAGCTTAGATCAACCTTTATTCCTTTAACCCTTCATGTTATATCTCATAAAAATCTCTTCAATTCCGAACCCAAATCTAGACGTATACTCCATATACACTAACTACATTTAGCAACTCTTCTATTTAATACTTTTCTGCTAGCCGTACGCACTTTTAACTAGTCATCTAATCAAACCTTATCAACTCCTCTACTATTTACCTTTTTGGACAGGTCTTAACCGATATTGGTGCGGAAGATATTGCGGCTAGAACGACAACAGTTATCAGCACTCAGAGCACCACAAATTTGCGTCCAAATCTGGACGTCTTGCGCACAAATATCAATAACGAGTTCAATACGCTAACCCAGAATGGTGCACATCCGCCCAATGGCATACTGAAGGAGTCGCGCACGCTGCACAAGACCGATGCACTCCATGTGGACACCAGCTCCGAGCCACTGACGTGAGTCTTTAAGCCACACAAAAGAGAAATCTCCACAGTTAATTAACTCTGTGTACTGTCCTATCTAACAGCTATCGCGCCTTGTACAAATACCGACCACAGAACTCTGATGAACTGGAGATCTTAGAGGGAGATCTGGTGCATGTTCTAGAGAAGTGCGACGATGGCTGGTTTGTGGGCACCTCGCAGAGAACGGGCTGCTTTGGCACATTCCCCGGCAACTATGTGGAACGTGCCTGAGCACACAAACAAACAAAGTTATATAAAAAAGTGAATCTAAATGAAGAAGCGTTAGGAACCGTTACGATATTTGTCTTTTGTCTTTGGCAGCCAAAAAAAAAAAAAAAACAGAAAACAAAAAAATCCAAAGAGTCTAAGAAAAAGTTAAAGATGAAAATTCAACTCTAAACTTAATTTGTAGGCCAAGGCAAAAGCAATTATTAATTATTTATATAAATTATAAAAACATTATAATTTCAATTGTTGTTAAAGAAAAACATAAACAAATATCAGCTGCTTAACTTTGCCGATGTTTTTTCTCTTTTAATTTAAATAATGTACAACTATTTATTTATTTTTAAACAAATGTTGAAATTATGTTTATTTATACAAAAAGAAAACTGAAAAAAAAAACAAGAATTATTAACCAGAAGTTTGAACCACACAACCCACACACACACCAAATATCGCCAGCTAAACTTAAAAAAAAAACAAGTTCAAGCAAAGATATATTATTTTTTATAATAAAACTTATTTTTTCGTTTAACTACTAATTTTAACTAGTCACAGCTAATTTCCAAAACCAAAAAAAAAAATTACAAAAAAAGTACAACAAAATTAAAAAAAAAAAAAAAAAAAAAAAACAACAAAATTAGAAAATCAACAGAGAAAACGTGCCTTAAATATAAACTGTTTAACAAAAATATATAATAATAATATGATTAAAACTAAAGTGCCCTTCTGTTGTGTCGACAAAGCTAATAAATTAATATGCGACTATTTATACATTTACATCAACTATTATTGAAGAACTAAATTCGTAATTTGTAATTCTATGAGCGTTTATCACACAGACACCTGTTGCTAGCGAATGCGTATTAAGTGAATCAAATAAACATAAAACAAAAAATTAATAAAAAAAAAAAAAACAAACACCAAAAACAAAATTAAATTTGTTTTATTTTAATTAAATTTAAATATAATTCTTTTAAATTTATTTTTATAAATGGGGCAGTGCAAACTTTCTAGACTTGGCAAATTTCTCAGAAAGTGCTTTAAAAAATATCTTAGGTAACAATTAAAAATTTCTGAATATTTATGTATTTTATAAAGAATCATAAATTTAAATCGTAATTATTATATATATATTTGAAGCTATATATATATTTTCGAAATTTAATGCTTAGTTTTAAATACATTTAAGTTGCTAAAAAAGACTATTAAAAGAGTTTATATTTCAACTGTTAAAAAATGAAATATCTATGAAATATATTGAATTTGTTACATTATTTTATTTTACACATAAATATATTCATTAATTATATATTAAATTACACTATACATTATAATTATATTTGAAATTTTCAAATACTTAAAATTAAAAACTCTTAAAATAGGCTTTTTTAGAAATTTAATATTTTTAAAAAATGCTTTTTAAAAATATGTTAAATTGTGCACATAAAAAATTATTCCAAATATTAAATACATTTTAATATTCTTTTTTATCAAATTTATTGAAAGGTAAAGCTATATATTTCATTGTCTATATAAATATATATAGAAATCGCTATATAGTTAGATGTTTTTAATAATATTTTTATTAATTTCAATTTAATACAAAAATATTTGTAAATCAACATAAAAACTTTTGAGTTAAATACTAGATTTTAAGTTTTCTTTTATGTCTAATAACCTTTAACTTTAACCTTTGACATTGTCATTGGCTGCATGGCATGGGATGTCATAATCCAATCACAATTTAACAATGCGTATAAATGTTACTGAACTTATTTTTAAGTATTTTATATTAAAATCTAAGTTTCTGCGATGCTTTATAATCCGCTGATGATGATATATAGCTATAAAGACTTTAAGAGCTACTGATAAGCTAGCATTTGGTATATACGAAAAAAAAAATCAAGCTTAGCTTAACTTAAGCCCAAGTACCATCTTTATATATGTGCCAGCTATCATATACTCACGTTTGGGCCAGTTTGCGTTTTCTCTCCTGTTTGAGCTCTCGCTTGACTGCGCGCTGTTCCAGCTCCTCGGTGTACTCAGCGTACATGGCCAACAGCGCCGGATAGAGCTTGTGATAGTGCGGCAGATCGTCGACAGTCACCTGCATATTGTCAAAGGCAATGGCCACGTGCTGCATGTCCTCGCTGCTGGGCAGGCGCGGACATTTGGCATAGCGTTGCGAAAAGTGCGTGAGAATGATGTGCTTGGCCTGCATGTCGCGACCCTGTTGTATGGCCTGCGAGATGGTGCTGTGCGTCTTGATGCGCGCCTCCTCCTCCAGGTCATCCTCCATGGTGGCCTCGTGTATGAGCACCGTTGAATTGTGTCCCAGTTCCACAAGATCTGAGCAGGGCATCGTGTCGCCGCTGTAGGTCACCTTGATGGGCTCGCCTTCGTGCTGCGCTTGCAGCGTGACACTGATGCCAAAGGCATGCGGACAATGCCTCACCAGGCAGGTGGCTATCGAAGCCATGCCCAGCTGCTCGACACGCTCACCCGCCAGCGGCTGTTCCAACAGCTCGCCATTGCCCACCAGCGTGTAGGCATCTTCAATCGGTTCGATTTGACGATTGTAAAAGCTCAGCCAAGGCTCGATTTGACGTGGCGCCAGCAGCAGCAAAGGTGACGCCGGCTCCAGACGCTGTCGCTCGCGCAGCAGAGCAATCAGTCCTATGTGATGATCGGCATGCAAATGAGAGACGTAAACAGCCTGCAGCTGCAGCATCACCTCACGCGCACGCTCTCGCCCAAAGAGACGCACGATCTGACCGTGCGTGCCCTCGCCACAGTCGAACAGCATGAACGCCTCCTCAGCAGTTTGAATGAGAATCGAGCTGACGTTGCGCGTTTTATTCGGTATGCAGGAGCCAGTGCCCAGGAATATGATGCGCGGATAGCTTTTGCTCTCGATCTTCAATGTGTCCGCCGTCTCGCTCTGCAGCTGTGCGAGCAGCTCGCTGAAACCAGGCACCGCATGCGTCTCCTTGATGTATTCCTCCGGCGTCAGCTTCGATTCCAACGTGCGATCCAATCCTGTGGCGTAAATATTTATATTTTTATTATATATTTAGATATGATATGTGAGATGATATGATATAGATAATTGGAAGAGAGATATAGATAGCTGATGCGCGTCACTCACCCTTCTTAGGTCTCAAATGAAAGCTGCTCATGGAAGCAAAGCCTTGCACCTGCTTCAATTGCAGTTGCTGCTGCTGCTGCTGCTTCAGTTCCTGTTCCTCAACGATTTCACTATCGCTTAAATTATTGTCTCGCGGCTCCTCCACGCCATTATCCAGCTTCGTTTTCTTTAGGCTGTGGCTGAGCGTGTTGCTGGGACAACTCTGCTGCAGCTGCGCGGACTCAGCGAGCAGCGGAAAGTAGCACGGAGCCAGCTGATGCAGTTGATATTGAATGCGATGTGCAGCGGCATAGCCAGAAAAATGATTTAAATGCGAATTGAGATAAATGTGCTGGGTGCACGGCGAGAAGTTGGTCTGCATGAAGCTGAGATAGTCGGCATGAGCTGTCAGCTCAGGCGGACTGAAGTGCACCACAAGCGCCACCTCGGTTAGCTCCGAGTTGGCCAGCTGTTTGTACTGTTCAGACTGCGCCTTCAAAGAATCCAAGTAGTCCACGCTGGGCACATCTATGAAGACAAAGGAGAGCGCCGTTTCGGCTGGCTCTGTGACGTCCACAGAGTGTACCACTGTGCCACAGGGCAGAGTTATATCTTGTCCATTTTTAAGCTGTCCCAGCAGCGGGCCAGGCGGCACGCCCGCTTCGACGCACTTGACCAAGTTAAGCGCACCTGGGCGTGGCTTTAGCTTGCATATGTAGCTGAGTATGGGTTGCAGGGGCTGCTGCTCGCTGCGCAGCACAATTGGCTGTACGCTCAGTATCGAGTCCTCATATTGAACGCCCAAAGTGCTGTCAATGGTCTGCATCTGCAAATTCTTGAGCACCACAAAGCGGCGCATGCTCTGCAGCATGGTGTCCAGATGCGGTGGTCCATGGAGGCCGACATTGCGCACGCCTGCATCCTGGATGGTCAAAGCCAGGCCTGGCAGCCCGCCGACTGTGGTCCACGTGTTCCTTGTTACGAAGATTTGCTCCAGACGGGATAAGCGTGTCTTATGCTCGTGCGCCAGACGCTGTGTGCCTTCGCCGCAGTTGAACAGGTAACGGGACTGGTCGGTAAACAAGTAAACAGCGCTGGGTGCTCCGTTGGCGCCTGCGCCGAGCACCTGTAAATTCACAGAGCCCGGCACAACAGAGCTCAACTTTTTACGCAACACATTTGGTTGGCGTTCGTATTTGGTGGGCGGTTTTTGTTCCGCGGCAGCTGTAGACACTGTGCTGCTCATCCTGATGCAATCTTTTGTCACAGTTCGTAGCGGTCCATGCGGCACGAATCGTTGCAATTTCAACATAGGCAACCACATTTCACTTTCAGCGTGTATGAATCAGCTGTTTGGCAAGCTAGAGATGGCAACACTACCCGAGTCAGCAACATAGGCAGGGAGTCGTAAGCTGAATGTTATGACACTTTACCACACAGCATTCACTACTAAGCAATTAACATACAACAGTTCCATAACGATAAGCTACTGCTGTTAAGTAAAAAATCTCTACAGTCGCAACAGGTTAATTCACATTGAGAATTGTCAACAGTGTCACAACTGCTCACAAATCAGAACGTCAATAACATTGCAATCGATTAACGATAATCATAACAAATAGTAGAGCGCGCACGTGGAATACGCAGCGTCTTTCTATCCGGCTGCAAATCCTTAAATAATTGTCTGAAAATATGGTTTTCTTCACCTGCAATATTTGCGGCGAGTCCGTTAAGAAGCCTGCAGTAGAAAAACACTACCAGACAAAATGCCGGGGCAAGACCAAAAACGTTTCGTGCATGGATTGCCTCAAAGACTTCTACGAAGAGGAATATGTAGCACACATCAAATGTATTTCGGAAGCTCAAAAGTATTCCAACCAAAACTTCGTGCCCAAGGAGCCAAAGAACAAGAATGCACAGAAGCAGGAGAGCTGGATGGACATCATACGCGCTATATTGGACAGCAGTGACTATCAGCTGACGCCCCCGCTGCGGAGCGCCTTCCAGCGACTGCAGAGCGTGGACAATGTGCCGCGCAAGAAAGCGAAGTTCGAGAACTTTGTGGGTAATTGCATGCGTATGCCACGCCAGCAAGCAACGCAAGTGTGGGACATACTCGAACAGGAGCTGAACAAAATGAAGGCAGCCAAACAGGCCGAATTAGAAGCAGCCAAGGCCGCCAAGGAGGCAGATCTGAAGAAAAAGGAAGAAGAGGCGCCGCCCAAGAAAAAATCTAAGCTGGAGCCAGCAGAACCAGCTGCAGCTGCAGCTGCTGAAGAAACCAACGAATTCGACTGGGCAGCACAGCTGCTAAAGCTGGTATCCAAGCAACCCGATGGCATTTTCCAAGAGAAGCTCAAGAAGAAGCTGCTTAAGAAATACACAAAGCATCTGGCTGTCGAGGAGCTAAGCGAGAAGCAGGCAAAGAAATTTGACAAACGCTTTGACAAGCAGCTAAAAAAATCGGACGCACTGCAGCTGGAGGGTGATTTGGTTAAGAGCATCTAGCAAATAGTCTCTCACGATCTAGCGTAATTTAGACAGTATGTTAACGTAACGTTAGAGAACAATTAAAACTGTAAGCAACTTAACTGAATTGTTTCCTACTTTTAAGATGAAACTGTGGATGAGTTGAGCCCATCGGCATTGCTGCTTTTAGGACTCTTGGCAACGACAATTAAATTGATCTGCCGTTGCCTCTGCATTGATCTTAGCAATGACTGGAATTGTCAGTAGTGTCTGCCTGTACCTAAGCCCATGGAAGAGGTGCTCTTAAGCTTGCTCATCATTATTCATCTATCTTATTTCTTTTTTAAGATATGTCCATGGACTTCCCTTCTTTCTGCCTGAAGCTGACCCTCTTTGAGGCCCTTTCTTCAAGCCTGCTTTTATATTCTCTTCTCTGCTGCTTGAAACATTTAAGCCCACAAATGACTACTTCAAGTGGAATCCAGATTTGCATGCTATTTATTGCTGCTCCGTCTGAAGCTCTATTTAAATCTATGTAGACTTCGTTTGCTGCAAGCACTTTTGCAAATATTGGCGTACGACGTGGCATTGCGCTGTCTTGTGAAAGCGCTCCGCTGGACACCTTAATATCATCTCCCTAACCATGCACTCCATCACCAGACCCGGAAACGGATGACAGCCATGTGGAATCAGGCGCTTAGCCAAAGCTTTCACGTCCTTGTGCTCGAGCTGTCCTAGAGCTGCAGCAGATTTGTCAATTCAGAAATAGTAGCTAAGCTAGATACTTACCATGTTTGTCGCACTTAACGTATACCTCGTAGAGCAACGCCTCATCCTTTGCATTGGCCAAATCGTTCTCCAGGTGCTCGCGCACGTGATGCAAGTTCAGAGACTGACGATTGCCTGCTAGAAAGTCTGTGCTGTTGTATGTGCATTCGGCAGTGCACTGGAAATTTATAGACAGATTATAGAAGCTGAAATGATGTGAAGTAGAGTAGCTATACCCTAGCTAGACTGGAATGGCAAAGTGCTTAATGATGCATATGATAGATCTAAGATATATCTAAAAACTGCATACATCGCCTGCTAATACTCACAAACATATAGAGCAGTTCATCCTCATCGTTGGTGTAGTCGATTTTGTTATGCCAATCGGATTGACAGTCGCTGAACTGCGGCGATTCGTCATGCAGATCGCAGCAAAAGTCGTGCTAACAAATAATTGAGGAATAAGTCAGATTAAGTGACAGAGCAGTGGGATGCCGTGGGCAAAGCTTCACCATTGTATTAGCTGAATGGTGTTCACAAAACTCGTCCAGCTGTGGCATCATTCGCACCACTTGCAACCAGAGCGCAACATTGAACAGTTGCCACCACACAGAAAACATTTCGAATACGTTTCACAGCTCGATTGGACTTCTCTCTCTCTTTTATAAACAGATGAATCGTCTAGTCAATTGGCCGTGGCTTAAAACAATTTCAAAACTTTTAATCACATGCTTCATTTAAGTTCTTAATTATTTGCAGTTACATTAGGGCACAAAATACACAGATCTTTTTTTAGAGGTATATCTGGTTTAATATATAAATTGGGTAGAAAGTTAATATAATGAATAGTTATATAATATAGTTTGATATTTGATAACTTTAGAGATATAATTTAGTTTATTTATAATCTCTCTGAGAAAGTGGACATTTAATTGTCAGGTTTTGTTTTTAATATACCTCTTTTACGTACCCCTACTCTTCCGCTTTCTCTATCTTCTCGTCTTCCCACTCATCATATTCCTTGACCTCATCCGCCCCCTCCTTTCGCTAATTTTTCTTCTTCTACATTCCTTCTTTTTCTTTTTCCTTCTTTCCCTTTCTCTTTATTCCTTCACTTCCTTTCCTTTACTTTACCTCCTTCTCTTCCTCCACCTCGTTTTCGTCCTTTTAGTTCGGAAATCTTCTACCTTTTTCCTATATTCCTCGTTTTTCGCCTCTTTCCACATATTTTCCCTATTCCTCCTTCTCATTCCCCACCTCTTCTTCCATGTTCCCCTTCAAATTTACTTCCATCTCCTCCTCTTAGTCCTCCTCGTCCTTCTTGCTCTACAATTCCACCTTGTCTTCCTCCTTCTAATTCTCTACCTCCTTCATTCTTCTTCAGCTAGTCCTCCTACTCTTCCTCCACCTCCTCCTCTTCCTTCACCTACTTCTCCGCCTCCTCCTTCCTCTTCTCTCCTCCTTCGTTAACATTCTTTAGAGTATCTTTTGTGTCTGCAACAAGCCCTTAAACAGAGTTTTATATCTGTCAAATCAATTATTAATAGAAATGCAATTTGATTTTAATGCCAATAATAAATATATTTAAGTACTTGGAGTTCTCTTCCTAGTGTCATACTCATACATACAATTATATCAAAGCTAGTTGTTGTTGGATCTATGCCGACTTTTCTAAGGCGACGTTTCGCTCTGATTCCTGGAATTCGGCTGCAACTCCCTGAAGATAAATGATTTTGGGAGTAGGCAGCCATCCATCACCGATCAAGCGGCACCTACCATATACATATGTATATATATGTATTCCTATAGATCTGTGACAGACGCGCCCTGCTGCCAAATATAGTTAAGGCAAAGAAAATTCACTTTCGAGTTGGAATTTCATGATGGACTGACTGATGCATGCGGAAGCAACTGCCATGCCCCTGCCCTCTTGCAACCAGCTGCAACTAATTAACCGAGAAATACATCATAAATAGCCCAAGTAGATGATCATTATGTATAAAACTGAAAACCGAAAACCAAAGACGAGACCAGAGTCACAGACGCTCTGTCGCTGCCTCAGAACTTTACATTTGTTTATTTTTACAGAGCCACGGAGCGTTCGCTCCATGTGTGCGTGTGTGTGGGTGTGTGTGTGTGTGGCAAAGGGACTATGTCTACGGCGCTTCACGGTGGCATGAAGAGAGAGAGGGATTGCGAGAGAGCTCAGAGTGCAATCAAGCGGCACGTGCCCGCCCTCGCCTGAAGTTCAGTTCTACGGAATTGGAACGCGTGCCTCGCCTCGTCTAAATGTTGATCTCAATTTTTGGGGTCACCCTAAAATCGCCCCACCTTGTGGTTATCAAGCAACCAAATCAAAACACACCCACCAGATTGAGCAATTCTAAGCTAGGGGAGAGTAGCGGCTATTTATGTAGGGAGTCCTATGATTATTATGTTGGAGCTGTGTGGCTAAGCTCTTTAAATGGGTTGAGTTTACGGGCATTAGATCATCATAGGGTATAGGGATATTATAAATATAATTTTTGTAATTGCTAATAAATATTTCAAATATATATATATATATATAATGTCTATATATATATATATATAAATTTTTGTTTCTTTTTTTTTTTTTTTTTTTTTTTTTTCGTTTTTATTTCTTTATTTTGTTGCAGCTTATTGTCTTAGACTCTATAGCGCATTTAGCTCTAAACCTTAACTAATGGGAGGGCAGATATGCCAATTATTCTGCACTTGTAGCTACTATCTTAATTAGTTCTAATATTGTCTAGAGGATGCAATCTCTTCAGTCTTCGCCTATTGTTGTTTATAGCCAGGTTGCTTGCGAGATGGTTAGGATGCGCTGCAAGTCTGTCCGCGTATCTTGAACTGTGTCGCCCAATGAGTTCAGCAACTGTGGGAATTGCTAAATCCCTATGTAAGACTGAGTTTCTTACAAACCAGCTGGCTCCAGTCCATCTGCGTAGTGCTTTATTCTGCAGGGTCTGAATTTTGTTCCTTGTAGTCTTCGCCGAGGAGCCCCATAGAGAGATACCATATACGAAGGTTGGGACAACTATTGCCTTGTAGATGGCGGCCTTGCTGCTGTAAGACAACTTGCTTGAAGCTCTCAGCATCCAGTCGAGGGTTTTTAGCTTGCTTTTGCATTTTGAGGTTACTTGACTTATGTGCGCTTTAAAAGTCAGCCTTCTGTCAAGAGTGATACCAAGGTACTTTACTTTTGAGGCTTTGGGAATAGTGGGCCCCAATGCAACGCTTGGGCAATCTCCTCTTCTAGTGGCGAAGGTAGTATGTACAGACTTTTGTGCATTAATGGTGATACACCACCGTTTTGCCCAGCGTCCGAAAGAGTCCAGATATTTTTGTAGTGAGTCTGAAGCTTCTTGCGCAGATACGTGACGTGATAAGATGGCGGTGTCATCTGCATAGGTCGCTATGAGTACTGCATCTGTACTTCCTATATTTGGCTCGGGAGTTGGCATATCTCCTGTGAATAAAGTATAAAGTGTTGGGCCTAGAACACTACCCTGTGGTACTCCAGCCATAATTGGTCTAGTCAAGGATACTGTTTGCCCCCTTGACACTTGGAAGGTTCTTCCAATAAGGTATGAGGATAGCAACGCGAAAAATGGGGCTGGAAGGGTGGTCCTCACTTTCTGCAGCAGTCCCAGGTGCCAAACTCGATCAAACGCCTGTTTGATGTCTAAAAAGACGGCAGAGCAGTACATCTTTTCTTCAAAGGCTCCAAGGATATGGTGCACAACTCTGTGAACCTGTTCCGGTGTTCCATGCTGTCTCCTGAAGCCAAACTGATGGTTTGGAATGGCCTCCTGGCGTCCCAGATGTGTCAGTACTCGTTCCAGAAATATTCTTTCGAATATTTTGGAGAGTACTGGCAACAGGCTAATTGGTCTGTACGACTCAATTTCTCCCACGGGTTTGCCAGGCTTAGGAATCATCACAATCACGGCGCGCTTCCAGCAGGCTGGAAAGTGCCGGATGCGGAGCATGGCGTTGTACACCATAGTTATGTAGTCTATGGTGGAGTCAGGCAGTGCTCTAAGGACTCTGCCGTTTATTAGATCATATCCAGGGGATTTTTTTGCCTTCACTCTTCTGATGTGTTCAAGAACCTCTTCTTTTGTACATCCAGTTATCTGGTCTTCAGCTGGGAGGGGCGAGAGAACGATGTCTTCTGTTGCTTCGATTTCTGAGGCCTCTGCGGTAATCACCGGCGTGAATTGGTCTTGAAGGTGGTTTGCAAAAGCCTCAGCTTGAGCTTCGTCTCCAATGTGCCAGGAACCAGAAATGCTCCGAATGGGATGACGTCGTATTGGCTGCCGTTTGAGCTTTCTTGTAAATTTCCATAATTGAAACTCTGCGTCAGTGGGCGATTCAGCTCGTACCAGCGCATCGCTGATACACCTCTTTTGAAGCAGGGCGAGAGCAGCTTTAAGATGCCTCGTGGCTTCGTTGTACATGGATTTGGCATCAGGCGTGCGTAATCTTAACCAGCGTCTCCTGGCCCATCTTTTGTGTATTAGTAGGTGTTGGGCCTCCAAGGTGAGGGGGATGTTGTACGGAGACTGTTGTCTTGTTTGGCAAGATGGTGGGGCGGCTTGGTGCGCAGCTTTGACTATTTCTTCCTGCAGTTTGTTTGCTGCGTAGTCCACGTCTTCAGGAGTGTTAAGTTCCATTTCTATGTGCAAAGAGTAATGGAGCTCGCGCCTAAAGACTCCTAAATCTGATCCTGCTGGCAGTAGTTGTTTCCTAATGGGCAAGGGCTGTGGCTGCGCGTGGATTGTGACTATTAGTGGCAGGTGGTCAGAGGATAGGTCCAAGGATTCTTCAATGGTCAATTGCCGGTCACAGATGCCTTTGTAGACAGCGAAGTCGATTGCCGAGGGCCTGTGTCCATTAATTGGGTAACGGGTGGGGGCTCCAGTCGCCAATATGCTGAATTGTAAGTTTTGAATCGCCTCAAATATGACTTCTCCGCGACGATTCGCACTATTGCTTCCCCAAAATGGGTGCCATCCATTCCAGTCGCCGCCGATGAGGGTCTTATTCAACCTTTGGCCTAGAACCTGTTCCATGTGATGATCACACAGACCAGTGTTTGGCGGAAGATAAATTGACGCAACTTCGATCGCTCCAATAGACGTAGGCAGGGTGATGGCTGAGACCTGCATTGTTGCGTTGCAAATTGGCAGTAAAGGTGTATGCGGTATTGTTGCTCGTATGAGGATTGAGGATCCACCAAAGCAGTTTGCTCCTTCACCATGAGCCTGATAGTGTTCGTATCCGAAAATTTGTGTAGTGGGGCACTCATGAGTTTCTGTTATTAACATTATATCTATGTTTTCTTGTGAGAGAAACGCAGCCAGTTCCTGAGTCTTGTTTCTCAGGCCATTGGCGTTCCAGATACCCACACGTAAAGCCATTATTTGTAGGCAAGCTTGGTTATGATGGCCATTAAACTGTTTAGCATGGTTGCTTGTTGGGATTGTACTTCTCGCATCGCTTTGAGCTCGGCATTAATTGCGTCAAACTGACGTTGTTGTTGCTGAAGCATTTCAGTGAACAAAGTGTCACTTGTGGTATTCTTATTTGACGGTCCACCTCTAGCGGCCTGT